AGCTGCTGCACACGGCTGGCTCCTATTTAAATGGTTGTCCACTAGGACTCCAAGATCCCTCTCACAGTTACTACTGAGCCAGGTACCACCTATACTGTACCTGTGCATTTTTCTTGCCTAAATGTAGAACGTGACTCTTTTCACCCTTGAATTTCATTTTATTAGATAGTGCCCAATGTTCAAGATCCCTCTGTATATTAAGCCTGTCTTCTGGAGTGTTCCTGCCAGCTTGGTGTCATCTGCAAATTTGATGAGTTCCCCATTTATTCCCTCATCCGAATCACGGATGAATATGTTGAAGAGTACTGGGCCTAAAACAGAGCCCTGGAGTACTCCACTGCATACTTCCCTCCATGTAGATGCAGTTCCATTGAGGACTACACGTTGAGTGCGGTTGGTCAGCCAGTCAGGTTGATAGCTGCCCTCGACTTACAACCATCTGTTTAATGACTGTTCGAAAGTTACACCAGCGCTGGGAAAAAAGGGGACTTGGGACAGGTTTTCACACTTACGAACGTGGCTGCGATCAAAATTCACAGCAGGGGTGGATTCCTATCGGTTCGGATGAACCGGTAGTGGTTTGGCAGTGTGGGCCGCAGGAACCCGCAGTGACCCAGGCTTGCCACGCTTGCCCACCAACCGGTTCTCCTATGGCACCGCCATCTTGGTTTTTGGCGCTGCCAAACAATTTTCATTGCACAAATTTAATCCCCCCCCCCAACTTTCAATGTTTCGCCCCCACGCGAACCTATTTATGAGGAAATGTGCGAAGCGAGTGCATGCGCGCATAAATTTTGCACGCACCGAATCGGCAGTAATGCCGAAAGCAACCCACCTGATTCAGAGGCTTGGCAACTGGCATATACTGATGAAGGTGGCAATGTCCCGGAGTCACATAATCCATCCTTTGTGGCCTTCGGGTGAGCACAGTCAACGGGGGAAGCCAAGTTCGCTTTTCAACGGGGCCACTAATTTAACAACGGCAGTGATTCACTTAACAACTGGGGCAAGAGAGGTTGTAAAATGGGCCAAAACCCGCTTAGCAATTCTCTTGCTTAGCCACAGAGATTTTGGGCTCAAAGATGCTTGTAAGTCAAGGGATGCGGTGGCTCAGTGGCTAAGATGCTGAGCTGGTCGATCAGAAAGGTTGGCAGCTTGAATCCCTAATGCCGCGTAATGGAGTGAGCTCCCGTGACTTGTCCCAGCTTCTGCCAACCCAGCTGTTTGAAAGCATGTTAAAAAATGCAAGTAGAAAAACAGGGACCACCTTTGGTGGGAAGGGAACAGCATTCCATGCACCTTCGGCATTGAGTCATGACCACGGAGAGGTCTTCAGACAGAGCGGATTTGAAATGGAGATGAGCACCGCCCCCTAGAGTCGGGAACGACTAGCACAGATGTGCAAGGGGAATCTTCACCTTACCTTATGCTTATAAGTGGAAGAATATATGTATTGTTTTAGGTTGTGAAAGGAGATCACAGGACGCGCGGGCACTGCAACCATCATAGATGCATGCCACTTACCAAGCATCCAAATTTGGTCACGTTACCATGAATTACTACAAGGGTCGTAGCTTGGAAAACTGGTTGCGGTTTTATGCTGTGTCGTAACTTGGAAGAGTCAGTAAATGAATGGTTGTAAGCCCAGGATTTGCCTGTATAATGTTTCAATGGATTCTTACTGTCGACCACCCCCAGGCCTCAAAGAGAAGGATTTTACCATGGCTTCCTTGTGTATGAATCTGTGGACATCCGAGGATAAGACGTAAGAAATATCCTCCAGCATCTTGGTGTATTTGCTCAATACGACTGTGATCTGGAAAGATGGAGGAGAAGGTTAAGAGGAGAGCAGGCTTGGAAGGGACCGCGGAGGTCTTCTAGTCCAACCCCCCTGCTCAAGCAGGGCACCCTAGACCCTTCAACTGATCCTTGGCGCAGTGGTTAGAATGCAGAACTTGCAGGCAACTTCTGCTGACTGCTGGCTACCAGCAGTTCGGCAGTTTGATCCTGGTTGACTCATCCTTCCCAGGTCTGTAAAACGAGGACCCAGATTGTTGGGAGCAAGATGCTGACTCTGTAGAGAGAACTGTAAAGCGCTGTGAAGCAGTATATGTCTAAATGCTATTGCTGTCTGCCTGTCAGTCTGTTTCTTTCTATCTATCTATCTATCTATCTATCTATCTATCTATCTATCTATCTATCTATC